CCCAGTGGCCTTTGAATTCAAGAGAAGTTCACTGTGCTCTCTTCCTAGAACTGACCCTAACTATGATAAACTTTTTAAAGTTAGACCTATCATAGACTGCCTACTAAACACTTTTGTTTCTCACTACTCTCTTAACAGAGAACTAACTATAGATGAACAAATGCTGGGTACAAAATGTAGAATTGGTTTCCTTCAATATTTACCAAAGAAACCTGTCAAGTGGGGAATCAAGTTGTGTTTGAAGTTTTAAATCTACATAGGCAAAGAGGGACAAATGCCAGCTAAAGTTTAGCAGAAAATGTTGTGATAGAACTGATGAACAAGCACAACAGACTAGGACACTGGGTTTTCATGGACAACTTTTACACTTCCCCTCATTTATTTGACAAACTACTGACTATGGGAACATAGGCCTCTGGGACATGCAGGAAAGACAGACTATTTCCCACAGCAACTGGTTTCTACAAACCTAAAGAGAGGGGGAAGCACATTTTTTGAAATGTGTAACTCTGACAGCTGTGAAGTGGACTGATAAATGAAACATTTATGCACTTTCAGCTTTACACTCTAATATTATGAAAACTGTGACAAAAAAGAGGGAGAGATGCAAAGGTTACCATACCTCAGTTAATTGTGAACTACAAGTTTATGGGAGGGGGTGGACCTGAATGACCAACAATTAAGATACTATTCTACTGGACGAAGGACAATAAAATGGTATAAAAAACTGTTTTTTCGACTTTTGGACTTCAGAGTTGTAAATGCTTAGATTTTGTACAAACAACAAACTAGTCAGCCAGCATTATCCCAGAAGGCCTTCAGAATAACCTGGTCACAGCTCTTATTGAGTCTCTACGTCAAAGCAAACCAGGTCCTTTTGGTATACCACTTTTAAGAACTGTACAGGACTCATCACATCTGAGACTTACTCTTGGCAGGCATTTCCCAACAACTGTTGACAGAAGTCACAGGAAGAGATACAGACTGTGCCTCCCAGAATATAAAGTAACAATCAAATGTACACTGTGTAATGAATTTATCTGTAATAAACATTTTGAAGAGTATCACACCAGTGTTACTCTTCAAAGAAGTTATTTCTTTATCTATGTCTACTCTTTTCCTTTGTTTACATTTTTTTCTCTATATATTTTAATGTTTGTATTTCAAAGTACAACAGTGGTTACTTTTTACATTAAATTTTGACTGAAATATTTTGGAAAGTTTTCTTTTGTTATTCATACAGTAGTGATGCTACCTTTTATGTGTCAAAATCAGTTTATAATGTCTAAAATGTTTTTAATAAAATACCTATGTCAACTTGCATTCATTGATACAGTTTTTCCTATGCACAACATTAGGTATGTCTTTTTTTCCATTGTTGATCCTTTTATTCTGGTTGTTCCTTTTATCATGTGTATACCTTGATATTAATTCATGCAATTTGTATGTGCATTATTCATTTTAGAGATGTTTATCATTTGTGCATAACTTTATTCTGCAGACATTTGTAGAGTATTGTATCTTTCTAAAATGTTATAAATAACCTTTTTTTTTGGTTTTTTTAGCTGCTAGTGTTGCATAAATTGCTTTCATTTTACCTCAATTTCGACAATTAGAAGAATAATACAAATTCAACAGGCATAACTAGAAAGTCAAAGTACAAATCTCTAACAATAATACCAGTATTTTGCTAAATACAGGGAAATTTTGGCTACCATACATATGTATATATATATATTGTTATTATTTATTCACAAATTTTAGTTATATTTCTTAAAAACTAGAAGAATAAAGAAAATATACTTCTAAAAACAGAGATATCGAGAACTTACAGTGGTTACAAGACTTTGTGCTCTAGCGTCACGCATGCTAAGCCTTGTTTATTCTTCCAAATGGAGGGTGTAGAGTTATTAATTTTTTTATGCTTCAAATATACATATAAAGAAAAAATCAACTTACTATATTAGTGCACACAAAACACCTGTAATTTATTTGGGTGTCTAAACAAGCTTTATGTGAGTTTTAAAAAATCCTGTTTCTCTTCATAGCAACAAGTTAGTCATCACACTTCAACAATTTGGGTGAAATTACGATTTTCTACTTCAAGCTATTTACAAACAGCTATAAGACTTACGTACACAAGTAACTGCTCTTTATATTGGTTATTATTGGTGGGACTAGACAAGAGGTTTTGAAAGACTAGAGTTGTAGGAGGAGCCAAACTACTAGATTGGCTAAATATACTTGTATCTCAGCAAATGAAAGAAGTAGGAGGTTCTTATTTTTAATTATAACTTGTCAATATCTCCAATCTGAGTTTCTAATTCATTAACTACAGCACACATCGTGTGGTAAGCCTAATTGATTATAAACTGAAAAATAACACAACAGGAAGTGTTATGAAACACGCAAAAAATAATATTTATCATGTTTTCTTTATATTTCCTTTTAAATTAAGAAATTAAAACATATATAACATTAAAATTTGAAATATAACCTTTGTTTTGATGTGAATCTGTTTGACATAAGTAATAGTAAAGCTATTTAACAAAATTTTGAAAATAGCTCTCTAAAATGTCATGACATGCACCCTTTGACCTGCCCATAGCAAAAGGGTTAATAGATTTTTCATTTTGTATATTACTTTGTATCCAGTCTCGTTATTCTATTTAACATAGTTACTAATAGTTTTAATATAAAACTACTTGGTATTTGACATTTTGAGAAAATATTCTAACAGCTCCAAAATTAATTCATTTCCAACCAAAATATACCATTATACTATGCTGGTAGGTCTACATATAACATCTGCAGCTACTGGATAAAAACAATTTATGTTCACTGCTAACCTAAGATTGAAAAAATTCATTATGTGAGGAGAGTTGAAACTATACATTAAAATAATTCCTTAATTATAACTCTAAAATACAGTATTTTACACCTTACCTTGACACTCTGGGTGTTAATTTCTTTGGATGCATTGACTGGTGAGAAAAGACCATCATTGTCCTCATCTTCATCATCCTCAAAGAGTGAAACAATTGTAGTTGTACGTTTTTTTGTTGGTGATGTTATAACAGCTGTAGATTTCTGTGTTTCCTGGCAAAAATATAAACATTTCACCTAAGAATGTTAAAAAAACAGCAGAATACATTTCATCTCTAATAATCATATTACATTACACACAGTAAGAACATCCATAGGTAATTCCATAAATATAAAAACAGCCAGAATTTATTACATAAGATCAACTAAGATTTAAAATAGATAAATTTATTAATGATAAAAGACTTAAAACATAGAATTCTTAAATCTCTTTACATGTTTAAAATATTTAATAAATTGGAATTGCATATGCTATGTCGTGAAACTATTTTTACCTTCCATAAATACTATGGAATGCATCTTTATGGTATATTCAGTTCAGCTGTCAACAGGTTTCAAAAATTACCATTAATTTATAGTTTAGAGAGAGTTTGGGTTATTTATAAGTCTAGTCAGTTGACCCTCTCACCTGGGGCAGCTGTTTCTGTGTATGTCATGAGGTTTTAGTGAGTTACATTCACAACTTAATTAAACTACTTTCTTTTCATGGTATACCAATAAATATAGCATAAAAATGTAGCTAGTAACCCATATATTAATATTATATATGTTTTACATTCTTATTTTGATAACACAATATTGAAAAAATTTTTAGAATTTCCCCTAGTGTGAGAATTGTGACATTTGCTCTCTAGGCATCCCCTCTTCACTAATTTATCTACCACCCCTCAAAAAAGTACAAAATATAATGTAAATTACTTATTATAATATTGTCATCGCTCAGCAAATGCATAATTTGTATAGCCTTCAATCTTATTTGGTTACAAAGCCATGAAATAGACAACCAGACCTCTCTTGCCATGCCCACTTGTCACATCCACTCTTTCAGAAACTGCCAATAGTTCTCTCTGCCATTCAATACTGTATTATTTACATCCAATAGAAAGCTGAGATCTTCACCTATCAAATATTCAATGATGTATTATATTATGTTGTTTTCTGTAAATAGAATTGTCAATTTCACTTCCAGTTCAAACTTGATTCCCATGGGAAACACATCAACAAGCTTAGATGAAGTTGTAACAGCTCTTGTTGCATAGTTAGAAAGCCAGAAAAAGTATGAAAGTTATGGGACATTGTCTGCTTTTTGCACGTTATTATTCCCTGTTCCTTGGTGCATTACTTAACTAAATAAAAAATTATTAGTGCGGTACTACCATTAGCATGAAAAAGTAGGGTTAAGTGCCATCAACAGTCAATAGCAAAAAAAAAAAAAGACGATGACGACCCACGTAACTACTCTTTTCTTTTTTTTCATGTGTATTCTTTACTTATTATTATAAAAGTAATTCAAATAGAAAAACAAGAAACCCTTTAAATTAGTAAAGGTTAGATTAAGTTAAATAAATAATAATAATATAATAAAATCTTTTCAGAAAGTATGCTCACAAATAGATCGTGTGTAATGTAATTCAACAGCGTAACTTGAGTTGCACATTTGCCAAGTGATTTGAAACTTTTAATGGTGCAAATAGTTGTTAGACAGGGTTAAAAGGGCAATAAAACAATCAAATTTAAGAATAAATAGATGTCTACTGTTATGAGTGTAAAGCTATTTAGGATAAACCAATGTAGTTTCATATTAGAATTTGAAGTAATTCTTTAAAGAAAAAAAAAGGGTAACTTAGATACATTTAAATTTTTTTTTATGTTTAAGAAGTCGGTCAAATTGACTAACCTTATATAAAGTTATAGTAAAGAAAATAACAGATAAAATATAAAGTTTTATTGAAAAAAAGTTTGGAATTTATTTAGGAGGGTTTAGAGATTATATAAATAGATTTTTCAGATGACAAAAAAGTGTTTTTAATCTTAACATGAAAATCACTTTGTACTTAGAGCAGTCAACACTTTGACTCCATATATTCATGGAGAAATTTTTAATGAAAATACTTCATTAAATATTCAGATTTTTTTGTCTACAAAAGACTTAATGGTTACTGAAAGTTTGCAAAATTTCGTGAAGATATGTAAGACATATTAGGAGTTATATTATGAAAATTATAATGAGAATAAAACAATTAGGAGGTAGGTCAATTTGACCAACTTCAGTTAACACAACTGAAGAAATGCCATTTTTAACCTGAGTTTTCAGACTGTATCACAATATGCCCAAGTATTTGTAACACATATTAACCTCACTAAAACGATATGAGATAATGATGCTACACCTATAATATTCAAGTGTTCCCTATGTTGTTTTGGCATTATGGTAAATAGGATATATGAAGGTTGTAACCTTACGTTACATAGTACATCACTTACTTACTTCATAGAGGCTTGTACCTGTTTCTGTGTTGGCTCCCTAGATTGAGGTTATGATCATTTCAAAAGCTGGTACATATACTTATACAAGTTAGTATGAGTTGGGTGTTTATCTTCCTTGAGATTGTTTATTTGGAATAGCTATTGACATAGGTAATCTAAGGATTGCGAATTACTGGTTTCATATAAAGGTGGGATATCAACATAACCCTCTCTCTTCCCTTAGCCGTTGCTTTGACTCTGTCTTCATCTGCTGAAGACATTAAAACTTCTCTTCACCACAGCACCTACAAGTGATTATGTGAAACAGAAGTTGGCCAAAAGGTTAAATTTAACACTGTCTGTGAGTAAAAATAGTTTTATTTGTTGTGTGATTTGTTTACAATTGTTGTCCATATTTAAAATTATTCTTTGGAATATATTTCTGGAAACTACGTTTTGTGGATACTTATAACTAAATTACCTGATGGATATCTATGTGCAATACCAATGATTAGTTATCAAGTTAAGTTTTGATGCCATGACCAAAGAATTTGTTTAAAGTGGAATTTATCATGAATATGCTCTTTTTTTTTTTCTCTATTTTATTCTCTAGTGTTGTAAAATTTGCAAAACACGATCAATATGCAAGGGTTCATTCTAAGATCTTATAGAACTTATAGGAGGAAGTGCTGTTCAGAAACAAAAAGAAGAAGACAATAACAGAATGGAGTAAAGAATTGTAGAGGCACTCTCTTATGCTAAGATCTTCCACAGGAAATGGTGAGAGCTATATACACATTCATGACCTGCCCTTGGGACCCAGTAGTGGATAGGGGAGTCATATGCTACTACTGTGACAAAGATATATCACTGTAGAATTGAGCCTCCTGAACATCACGGGGGTAACCAGTGTCTTGCCATGATCAAGCAGATTGTTGGGACAGTCAGAATCCTTCCTCTCCAGAAAGATTATACTGACAATGTTCCAAGACCATGTTTGTCGGCTAAGGTTGATGCATATCTTTACACATTGAAGTATTCTGCACAAGACTTTTCCAAAAAAAAACAGACATTGCAAATTGACAGGATGCATGCATCTCGAGACTTGTTATGGTGCCACATCAATTGAGTTGATAATTTACTAATAAAACACAGTTTTGAAGCTGTTATAAAGGTAGTTTACATGTGATTGGATGAAGCAAGAAGTAGACTATCATTTAATAGTTGATTAAATATATAGGTTTAATAGCTTTCTTTACAGTTCCTGTATGTGTCTTTCATTTGTAAATTGAGAATGTATTTGTGTGTTAAATTACACCTGTTTGAAAGCTACAGAAATTTTCTTCAATGAGAACACATAATTTGAGACAATGGAACATACATATATAATATGAAACAAAGGTGTCAAATGATTGGAGATTGTTTAAAGCTTAATAAAGATATCTTGTTGATATATGGTTCTTTGTTTACAATTATAGTATATTTACTTTTTAATAGAGATACTATGATTTTATTGAGTTGCAATATTGTAAACATTAGGTTTTTTGTTTGTTTTTGAATTTCGCGCAAAGCTACACTAGGGCTATCTGCGCTAGCCGTCCCTAATTTAGTTGTGTAAGACTAGAGGGAAGGCAGCTAGTCATCACCACCCACCGCCAACTCTTGGGCTACTCTTTTACCAACGAATAGTGGGATTGACCGTCACATTATAACGCCCCCACGGCTGAAAGGGCGAGCATGTTTGGTGTGACGGGGATTCGAACCCGGGACCTTCAGATTGTGTTAGGTTTTTTATTATGTTCACCAAATCAAATAAGTTAAGTGAGTATGGTAAGATACTGCTAAATATATATTTTATATTTATCATATTCAACAAGCATACATAAATAAACTGGCTATTTAATTACTGTTAATTGCAGTCACAGTACGTTTTAGATAAAAATGCTATTATCCATATCATTGATAGTAAAACAAGTTTTTATCACTAAATTATCAATATATTTGATTTACAGAAAATTTGAGATAGATTACTGCATATTATAAAAACAAATGGTGACTGCAGTCAATATTAGCAATTAATTTGTCAATTAGAAAATGTCAGAGTTATTTTTTACAAACTTTGTGGCATTTTAAAAAAGATTTATTGTTTTTCTGTTATTAACTACAAAGTTACACAATGAGCTATCTTTTCTCTGCCCATTACATATATCAATACCCAATTTTTTAGTGATATGAGCCTTCAGGCTTACTGTTGAGCCACTAGGAAGCTTTTATAAGAGAAAAAAATATGTTTTCTCACCAGATGCACAAATGGCAACCTTCAGAAGAGGTCTATCATATGAAGCAATTAGTAATTGGAAAATTACTTGAAAAATAAGATTAATACCATGTTAGAATAATGTAATGGTTGAAAAGATTATGAAGTTAGCATAATTCTGCTTTGTTTTAATGCTTATATAGTGTGTTTGTGTTAGGGAGCACATACTAATAAATTAATCAAATAAATTAACTCTCTTGCTAGGGGTAGGTCAAGGTGCACATCATGACTTTTTTACAGTTACATTCAAAATTTAACTAAACTACTTATTATCAATGTATATGAATAAACTCAGAATCAAAAAATAGTTTGTAAACCAATTTTTATTATATAGGGTTTAAATTCTTAATTTTAAAGAAAATATTTTTAAAAATTCCCAAGAAATTTAACAAAAGTTACTCATCATAATAGAGACATCAGTAAGGTGAAATCTAATTTTTATAGTCTTCAATCTTCTTTGTTTAGGGAGTCATAAACTTGCCATGCCCACCTGGCACATCCTTTCTTTTACAAGTAGCCAATAATTCTCTCTGACATTTTATATCATTTATAATCAATACAAAGGGTATGTTTTAATCTACTGAATGATGTATAATGCTACATTGTTTTCAGTATAGAGTATTGTCAATTTCATCTTCAGTTTGAAAGTTTATCTTGCAACATTCAGGTTTAGAAGCTAGAGGAATTATTTTAAGCCCCTTGACTTAGTTAGAAAACCTGTTAAATTATAATAGTTAAAGGACATTATTTCCTTTGTGCATGTTATTACTGTGTGTTCTTAGGTGCATTAAGTAAAAAAAACAAAACAATTAGTATACTAGCACCATCATTATAAAAAAAGGTAGGCTTAAATTTCATCTACAACCAACAGAAAAATAGGTCAAAGGTAAGTACAATATTTTCTATTTTTCATGCATATGTTTTTATTTATTGTGATAAAAGTAAACAAATATATAAAAATTAGGCAAGATACTGAAAAATAACAATAAAAATTCTTAACGGGCTATGCTCGCAAGCAGCTTGTGCATTACATCATTCAATATGGTAATGTTAGTTATGAGCTTACTAAGTTATTTACAACTTGTGTGATGGATTTATTTGTTTGAGAACAAAGCCACATTTGGCTATCTGCTGTGTCCACCATGGGGGCTCATATCCAAGATTTTAGCATTGTAAGTTTATAGATTTACTACTGTCCCACCAGGGGACTTGTTTGGGGTGATTATTAATTAGAAGAGATTGAATGGGTAATAAAAGAATAAAGTTAAGTAGAAAAAAGGCAGAGACTGTTACGAGTCCTAAGCTGTTTAGGATAAACAATTGTACTTGTGGTTACAATCTGCAGTCATTATAGAGAGAGAGAGAAGAAAAAAAAAAGAGTAATTTATATTTATTTTATATTTTTACAGTGGTTACAAGGTCTGTCAAATCAACCAAGTCCATATAGTGTTGGGGTAGAGAGAATAACAGATAGAATATAAAGTTTTACTGAAAAAAACAACAAAAATATTTATTTAGAAGGTTTTAGAGGTTATGCAAATTTTATGATGAAGAAAAGTATTTTTAGCCTTGATATGAAAATCACTCTGCACTCACAGCAGACAACACTCTGACTCCATCTATTCACAGACAAACCTTTAGTAAAAACATTTAATTAAAAAATCTGATTTTCTGTGTACAAAAGATGTGTATTATTTACTGAAAGCTTGGCAAATTTCATGAAGACACACACAACATATTAAAATTTAGAGTATGGAAGCTTTGATGGTTACAAAGTAGTCACATTGATCGATCCTGTATGGAAAGAGTTAATGGATTAAAAAAAATAATAAGTGACCTGGCAATGTTCTATTGATTTTAATTGCTCATCCAACTATGCAACCTCAAAAATATGGTTTGTTGCTGTGATCCTTTCATTCATGGCTATTTATTTGTACATAATGCCTTGGAGATGGTACATCTGTACCTTCAAGGTGTCTGCTGACCTACTGATAGACTGTATACATTTATACTGTGTAAATCAAAACACAACTTCTTACTTCTTTGTTTTAAAAAATCAAAACAGAAATACAAACCTCAGATTTGTCCTTGCTGGTGGAATTTGTTTCATTAAAGAGTTTTTCATCTTCAAACAGGGAAATGCCACCAGTGTTCTTTCTGTGTAGAGTACGAGAACATTTTTTCCTTGGTTCTTAACAAAGATGCAAATATTCTACTTTTTTATGTTATTACATTTCTTTAAGAAAAATAAAAACAAGTATACATTTATATATTTATTTAAAATTCTACAAAACAAAAACTAATACTGTACCTACATATGATAAAAATAAGGTAAGTTTTTTTTCATTGATGCAAAAGTTTATTATAACCAGTAATCAAATCTGTCATTACATTTAAACACACATTTTTTCTCTTCTTGTTGTTTACTAAGTAATATACATTATGGATTTTTATGCGGTTATTTCTTGCAATATATATTTATTTCTTCCATATGCTGTTTAACCAAAATTATATATAACACACATCATTACTTTTTATATTTGGAATCTCATATACATATATATAGCTGTTATTACAAAAACTACTACACTATGGGACTGAAATAATATCAAGAATTTTGCATGAAGTGCACACCAGAACTTACACATTCACACAATAACCAAATATTCATGCAGGTTCTCTGGGTTTGTACAAAGTGACTACTATCTTATTGAATGTACACTTTCAAGTAGAAGTGTGTTCATGTATCTCAATAACATATATATATATATATATATGCATACCACTCATTCTAGTAGTAGCTAGACACTGTAACTGAAATCTTTAAGTTTTTTAAAGAGAAAATGTGTGGTAAAAATGAAGTGTTGCTGTGAATTTTTTTTCTATGTTTAATTAAGCAACTTTATTTATAAAGTAAAGAAAAATACTTAAAACCACATTTGCTCAATACTGTAGATGTCAGGTATCCTGAACTAAAATAGAGCTTGTTGGCCCTACATCTACATTACAAAGAACTTTGTCAAAAGCAAGTATCACACTCATTTTAACTTTTATGAGTATAAAAAGACACATTGTGTAGCTTTGCACTAGAAAAATAACAAAACAGAAGTAAGAGTAAGATTTGAAACAACTCAGTGTAATGTTTTAAGATAACTAAGAGTTTTTCTAGTTTTATCAATGCTTTTCAACCTAAGAATGAAGGAATCATAAAATGCTTTTTCTTTGATTACAATAGAATCTAAATGTTAAATATTTGGTATACACATGTCTAATGTAATGGTAGATTGAAATGAATATTTGTAACATTAAAATAAATGCTAAAGCAGAATTTCTTAACGTTTTAGTAGAACAAATGTGGTACATTTCACAAGTGTGGAAAAATGTCCACAGATGATACTGAATTGTAAATAACAAAAGATATGATTATAGGTCAAAAGCATGAGAACAAGTGTGGGAGAAAAGAGTCAGACAGCTTTATGTAATATAATGAAATGCTAACTATTATCCCAATGCAAAACAAGGCAGACCTTTCATTATAATCACAACATGAAGATTCCTGCATATTGGTTTTAAGATTTAGCATCTTAATAACTATGACATTTCTTCTTATTATGGAGTTTCTACTTCATCAAAGATGACAGAGGAATGTGCAACTGTTCTTTTATAATATATTACAAGCTTTTGTACATGTAGAAAAGATTGGGGTTCATCAGTTTGAAAAGGCAGTTTAGTATCCTCTTTTCAGCTTTAACTGAGCAGAGCCTAAGTAATATTGACCAGAGGTAGGGCTGCGATATGTGCTGTTTCCAGTATTGTATATTGAATCCACTATAATGAAATCATGAATTGATATATATACAATTACTAGGCCAAAAGCTTTGATGGTCTCCAACAAATACCTTGCAAAAGAACTTTGGTTATATTGGGTTTCTGTTATTTTTATAATAAGATACATTGAAGAGGTGATGAAAATAATGTGCAAAAGTTTAAATAATGATATATTGGTTACATTATTATTAAGAGTTAAAAACATTTGTAACTTAATCCAAAAAAAAACATTCTACTTCAAAACTTCAATAGATATTTTGGCTATGTTGATTTTAAACTGTAAGCAAAATGTCTGTATTTACTTTTCCATGTCAAATATACTGAGGCTATCAGTATCACTTCTGTCATAAAGGTGAAATAGGAACATCTGAAGAAAACATTAGCTGAATGCACAAATATATACTCTTCACCTTAAAATTCAGGTATCCTCACTAACTACTGAACTCTGAATTTAATAGTACATAGTCAGTGACAAAGCAATGAGCTAAACAATGTCCACAAACAACAGAAAAGCAAAAATGAAATATATATGTACAATATTAGTACAGTTAAATGTGCACAAAAGAACAGGGCTGTAGGGATATTATAACTATGACAGTCAATCTTTCTGTTTGGGTGCTACTGGCTGACTACTCTCCATCTAGTCATCAGTTCAAAACTAAAGATACCTGTATCTAAACCCTAGGTATCTCTGGCCTAACTGTAAAAAGTGTTTCGAACAATGGACTTACTGAGCTAAAACCCAATACAATAGCCATAACGTCGTGACTGGCCCATATTTTACTTACTTTAGTGTGAAAGCTCTTTTTAATACTGGATATAGTGTATTACATTATTTTACAAGATCAGAAGTCTGTATATTTGCACATAGCCTATCCATGAGGTTAAAAACTTTGTTATGAAAACAGATTAAGGAATGTTATAAAAGTAAGTTACTTCAATAAATTCTGTAATTTCATATATATATATATATGGAATTTGCAGATCTCCAGGTAAAACTGAATCAAGAAAACATGCTTCAATTCAACAGGTAAACCCAGTTTCTTTGCCCAGTTGACACCATCACCTCATAACTCATTCTCTTTCAGCATTGTTCAGCTGTAATACACAGGAATATCAAGGAATATCACAGTCATTAATCCTTCCAACAAGGATGAAATATGTTACAGCAATATCCCCTCAGGTAGAATGGACATTGCGTATTATAGAGAAAAAAAGTAATTAGAAAAAAGGACAACCTCAATGACTTTCTGGACCACAATGTCATGCTAAAAATGTATAGAAACTAAGTAAGTGAAAAAATTTTAAAATTCATATATCACTAAAGCAGGTAATAAACAAATATGCTTGCACATCACACAACACCTTCCGAATGCTTTAAAAGTCTAGTCAACAGTACCGCAATAAATACTAATCACAAATTATATGTTTTTATGATAATGTCTGATATTTATAGCTAGGAACATTATTAAACAAAAAAAAATGACTTTGGATTTTTTTCAGAGACTGTAATACCAGTATAGCACTGATTTTCTTTAAAATTAAAAACTTTTGGTGAGGATGATACTTTAGAAGAGCCTGGACACTGCTAGGGGCTTTAATTTCAAACACTGGTGTGCAGTTCTTTGAAGAACTATATGTAGATGTAAGTATAGGAATATTCACTCGTAGATTTTGAGTTCATAAATCACTGTATACGTACCCTTTTTTAGGTGGGATATGGTCAGCTGTTTGTTTATTTTCTATTTTTTACAAGAAGTTACCATTTACAAGGACTTTAGAAAAGTTGAAAGTAAAACATAGACTTATCAAGGCAAATTTTAGGTACTTTCCTGGTTTTCAAGCACTTGTTCAAACCTTATGTCAGATAAACCAAGAGAATGCTACTGGTTCTTCCAACTGTGAGAGATTAGGATGTAAGCTATATTCTGTGCACTAAATGTGAAATATAACTGAAATATTTCCAATCATAGTACGAATGGGTTTTAAGACATTCCAGCCGAGTTTTTTGTCCACAAGGCCAAAGTGCTGTTCTAACAGAATAATGTTTCTTACAAATATCTGGTGTCACGTACAAAGATTAATTCAAACAATAGACAACAATATTTTAACTGTCATTAAATGGAGAAGGGTGGTGCAACAACAAACCAGGACAGTCACCCCCTTCTATGACTTACATATTTAGACTTTTTTGGCTGACCATTTATACATAAACATAAACCTAGAATACATTAAGGTATAATAATTTTAATGTTTCATTTTATCTTTTATTTTTAAGAGCACAAGAGAAGAAACAATGCCTAAAGGTTACTTGAAAAGTTTCTACTTATTATCAAATACAGGAAGTAATATTAATGATTTCTTGAAGGACTATATTTTAAATGTAGTAGTTTTATTAATAGCAAATAAACATACCTGATTTCAGTTTTTAACCTTTTTCCTCTATATAAAAAGTTTAGTTTATTAGTTAGGAAGAGGATCAATTATAAAATACCAGAAGTTAATTTGAATTTTCTATGTGCTATGGCACTAAAAAGCTGGATTTTAGTTGTTAATGAAAATGAAACTATGTTTAATTAATGTTTTCATGCATTATGATTAAGACTATTTAAAGTCATAATCTGTTTTGTTTTTTTGAAAGAGCAAATAGAAATGTATTTGAAATATGTACCCTAGGTTTTCCTGAACAATTAACACATCAACTAAAAATCATAGTTTTTCACAAAATCACTTTGCACTTAAAATTTTAGAAGAAAATTATTTGAATTCCACAAACAGTTAAGGATGTTACAACACATTATACAGTGCTTTCTGAAAATCTTTTTACAATGAAGTACAAAACTTTTCTAAAAGACTTGCATCATACAAGAGAAGGAAAGAGAATGAAAGAATAATCCAAATAATGAATGAAGCTGACACTCTAAGTCAGCTATCTGAAAGGTTTAAGTGTTGACACAAACATCAAAATAAGCATGATCGACAGAAAAACGTAATATGGGAACCAAAAAATTGCAGGAAATTACTCATTTTCTATGTAAAACACACATTTCAAACCTCACAAGTGAATAAGTAAAATTAATTGTAATATTAAGTTTATTTTAAATTTTTTTGTATAAATGATATTTTATTATGAGTAATGTCACCAAAAAAGCCATGGACCCACAATCAACTTGTTTCATAGTGTAGAAAAATGTTTTTAAAACTTTGATGGGGTTCAAATGGATTTCCTTGGAGATTCAAGGGTTAATAGAAGGTACAGTAAAGGAACAGTACTAAAAGCATCTATGTGCACATACTTATATGAGCAGGGTTATAGAATACCTATCTAAAATTTGTTACAGACTAGCTGTAACTTGTTCTTAGGTAGGATTAGACAAGTGCAATGATTCTGTACATAAAAATGTTTCTCAGCTTAATTAACCTTCAACATAAAATTATTCAGTAGTCTTTCATACAAATATTGTTAAGCACATCATAATTATTTTCAAGTTCGATAATAATCTATTTTTTCACTTGTTCAAAAAATTTTGAATGAATATTTCCATGGACAATAAACAAAATTATTATACTTTACCTGGATGAAGGTTTGGCCACAGCACTGAAGAGGTCTGATTCTACACTCTCAATAAATAGTCCTTCATCTTTACTTAAAGTCTGTTCAGGTGAAATATCTTTTTTAACGGTTTCTTTCTGACCTACTGAAGTAACCACTTCATCAAACAGATGTTTTCCAGAAAGTTTTGTTTTTGGTTTGCTGGAAAGACAAAAAAAAATATTAGTAAGTTACTATAACATTCTTGTTAACATAGTACTTTTAATTAAATTATAAAAGTTAACCAAGCAAGTTACAAAATTTGATAAAACAAAGTGAACCAAGTCAACATATTTCAACTTGAATTAACTTGACATTAGTCATATCAATATCAAAGTTAATAATACACAAAAATCAAATTAAATACTTAATCATATTATCCCATTATTAAACACTGTGATCTTGGTAAATAATTGTAAAAGCAAAACTAAATTGTTCTAACAGCAATAACAAAATAATTTATCTCTTCCAACTGTGAAAAAAATGGTTGACCAACCATGGCAGCAATAACCAAGATAATCAGTTCCAGTTGATGTGAACTGCTGGACCCACTAGAAGTGTGCCAAGATGGTTAATAACTCCAAGGGCAGAGAATTTGGAAAGTATCAACAGAGGCAATCTGGCCCAGAAGCTTTAACTTTAATAAGCTGACTGATCAGCTTCAACAGTGGCTAACAGTTGGTCTAGTAACTCCAACAAAAAGTAAAGAACAAATTGGTTGATTAACTCTCTCAATACGGACTCGGTTGATTTGACTGACCATGTGACCTCTTTATACTTGTTTAAATTCTTTATAGTTTTGACTAACTTTTAATATAGAATGTATACCTTCACAAAATTTGGTAGACTTTCAGCAAACATTACGAGTCTTTCACATACAAAAAATATTTTTAGTGCAGTATTTTTAATAAGCTAAAAAAGATTTGTCAGTGAATATATAAAGTATTTTTTTGACAAGTCTGAGTGCAAAGTGAATTTCAGGTTAAGATTAAAAATACTTTTCTTCATCTCAAAAATCTCAAATTTCTTTTACATAATCTCTAAAATTCCCTAAATACATTTCAAATGTTTGTTTTCAATAAAACTTTATATTTTACCTGTTATTTTCTCTACTCTAACTCTACATAAGGTTGGTCAAATTGACCAACCTTTTAACAAAAAATCAAAATCAATTTAAATTTACCCTTTCTTTCTTCTAAGAATGACTTCATATTGTAACATCAAACTACATTCGTTTATCCTAAGTAGCTTTAAACTTGTAACAGTATACATCTATTTTATTGCCCTTTGAACTGTGTCTACCTAATTTTTGTGTCATTATAAGGTGTAAATTACTTGGAGAACTTGGAGGTCATGTTACGCTATTATATTATTATTATTACTTATTTTACCTAATCTAACCTTAACTAACCTAAAGAAATCCCTATTTTTACATTTTAGTTACTTTTATAATAATAATAGATATAGAACAAATATGAAAAAAAAGTACTTACCCAAATCTTCTTTATTCTTGCTGTCGATTGTTAATGACACTTAAACCTTAAATTTTTTTATACTAATGGTAGTAATGCACTAAATAATTTTTATTTAATTAAATAATACACCAAACAACAAAGAATAATAACATGCAAAAAAAAACATACAAAACAGAAGCCTTTCCACTTTACAGTTAAAAAAAAGAAAAGGAATATAATACTTCTCAAGACCATAGAGCAATGCATGTCAAAGTTGCTCAATTTCCACATTTGACAGATCAGGAATATTTCTTGATGTAAAAACAAGACAATGTCCTCTAACTATCACAATTTTTCTGGCTTTCTAACTATGTGACAAGAGCTGTTACAAATTCATTCAAGCTAGTTGTTATCTTTCCTGTGGGAACTAAGCTTGTACTAACAGTGAAACTGACAAATCTCTGTTCATAAAACAACATAATATAATACATCATTTGACAGATGAAAACCTTGGCTTTCTATTGGTTATAGATAATATAGAATTTAAACATAAGAGAAAACTATTAACAAATCCTGAAAGACAGGATGTGACAAGAGGGGTCTGATTTTCTATTTGATGGCTCTGTAACCAAACAAAATTGAAGGCTATAAAAAATTACGGTTTGTTTGAGCAATGACAATTTTATAGTCAGTAATTTACATTGAATTTCATATTTATTGGAGGGGTGGTGGATAAAATACAGAAGAGGAGATGCTTAGAGAAAATGTGTCACGTGTGTCACACTCGGGGAAATTCAGGATTTCTTTAAATATTGCTTTATGAAATTAAGAACATAAAACTTATATACTATTAAAATATGGATTATTAGCTAAGACTTTGTGCTATACTAATTGGTATAACAAACAAAATGTAGATAAATAAAATTTTGAACGTAAGTCACTAAAACCTTGTGACCTGTGCAGTAAAGGATGCCTGTAGCAATAAGGTTAAAGAAGGCAAGCTAACACCTCCAACATTAATAAATTGGTAAATAACTCAAATAAAGACAAGCTTGCCTAGCAACTCTAGCAATGATGGGCTTGTCAAACAGCTGAAGTACAAACAATCTAGTCTAACAGCTCTAAAAAAACTAAATAGTTTAGCAGTAGAATAATTTCTAATCTTAATGAAGCTCCTTACTTTGCAAGCCTAAATTTTACAACACACAGCAGTTTTTCACATATCTACTACAACAGACTAGTTAAGAGGAAAATGATAAAACATCTGCAATCAAATATGAGTTTTTAACAGATTTGTTAGGCCTAGTAAATTGTTAAATCTTTAAGCTACTGAATTTTTTGTAGAGACAAATATATTAACCTTGTTGCACAGGTGGGGGTCAAAGTGCACATGCCACAACCTTTAACAGAGTGCCATTCAACAAGGTATTTTGAATTTTATTTCAGAGTTACCAACTATTCATTTTAATCTAGATTGCTGATTTAACAACAGTTCATGTATAGGAGCATAAATACCATATATAATACAGAGGGATATTAAGAAAACTGTGGATATGCATTTTGAAGGTTCATGAGGTTAAGTGCAATATTTAAACTTTATGATTGACAAAACTATTATTATTATTCATGTGAAAAACATTTTGCACTCCAACTTATCAAAGCTTGACTAAAGTCATCAGTTCACAGACATGTCTAGAGTACAAATACTTTTCTTACTGATTGTTTGTGTATAAAAAGACTTGTACACTTTAGCAAAAAATTACCATATTTCATGTAGACACACATAGAAACCTTCAAATCATAGTCAAAATACCTTCTCCAACACAGGGTTGATCCATTAGACCAACCTCACTCACATTTGGTTACATTTAATAATTTAACATGATCCACAGAAAACAATTTTATCAACTTAATAAACATAAAAAAATAGTGAAAATATATTAAATACCAGTAGTTAATTATTAAGTGATCATTAAGTGATTATTAAGTAGACATCTTAACACACAACATACCTAAAATTCAACTTCATTTTCAATTATGTTGATTATCTTAATATTTAAACTTTGTCTTATTTTAATTTAACTAAGAATATAAGACACTATTACTATATTCATATGTTAATTTTTGTTTTTCTTAAATGATAGGATAAATTTCAATATCCTTTGCAAGGCCAACATTAATTGGGAATTACTGATTAAAGAAACTCTTTGCTTCAAACAATTTTCACCAACACTGAATAACATGCAGTCTTCTTTTAAATTGCACACTTTTTAATACGTACGGTATTTTTGTTTATTACTCCTTCACTCTCTGTGTGTTTTAGTTTTGATTAAATTATCGTTATTGCAGAAATGTATTTTAGCTATTTAGGAATGATGTAATTCTATTATTTTGCTTTAGATAAAATTAAGATGGAATCTGTAGAATTCCAAAACATTTATCTGTGTCTCCGTCTGTTATAAATAAACAATGTTGTTTATCTTAAGTATCGTTATCCTATTTTGTTGTGAAACTTCGTTTTCCTCCAAACACATCGATAAAATTTCAAATGATGTAAAAATAAAACCATTACAGAGAGTTGAGTACATTGATATTCCAAATTGTTTTAATGTAAAGCAGCGTCGTGACAAACACAGCTGATATAAGGTCACAGTATAATCCTATGTATTGGAACTACATTTTAATTTTGTTTGAACTGTCATAGGTAGTGTGATTTCTTTTGGGAGAGTATGTAACAGCCTTTTTCGACACAAAATATTCATACACTCAAATCATACAGTTATGTTTACATCAGGGATTTAGAATTTTAAAAACATGGATATTCCTTATACTTACTGGCATTGTAAAACAAAAGAATATGGATCTACTTGGGGTAGCAGGACTATCAAGAAAGAGACCAGCAACAAGTCACTCTCTAGCTGTGGTAAAAGTGTAGTGTCTGGTAACAGGGAAGAATCTGAACACAAAGATCAATGCTAAAAGCCATTCATGTGCCCCTGGCAACATACATAATCTAGAAATATCTCTGTACTGGAAATAAGGTCAACAAGGTATGGTAATCCCAAGATAATGCTTCTGTCATAGGTATTCATGCTATTGCATATGAAAATATATCAGTTACATTTCTTTAAATATCCACTATGGATTCCTGAGATTGTACTGTTGAAATGGGTGCTGGGATATCAACATCCTTGTACACTACATGGATCATGGAAAGGGAAGAGTAGTGAGCTTTGTCCATGAGAGTCTTATAATAGAGTCTTTTGTAATGGAAACTACACTACAGAACTATTGTCAAGATGCATAGCCATCAGACAGAGCATGCATAGACATAGTGATGTGAACTGTAATGATATGATGTGGGTCCAAACATTTTTTAATATAATTTATTCCACTTTTGTAGAGCCAAACATGCTAATTAGCTACTTCAATGTAAACATTTTATCAAGATACACGAAAATGTGGTGCTTATATTGAAAACTAATGAAAGTAATTGTTATTACAAAAGTTAATATTTTTCTTGCCAGAAAATGCATTTCACATAGTTACCTTTCTGCATAATTTCACAACCTTCCTCATCACAACAAAGAACTATTACCTCACGCTATTGCAATAAATGGTTTTGTGCATGCCACAAAGCTCTCACCCCTACATGTACTACTGCATGTTGCAACAGCCTATGATTTAATCATCATTATATTATAATTCTCCATCAATAGAAGGGTGACAGATCCTTCATGAACAATAATCTCTATGAGCACTAGCATTTGAACAAAGGCTTATTAGTGCTAAATGTTAGGTCTATATTTATCTGCAAAGACTCAATTAGTTGCATATAGTATTACTGATTTAACAATGTTTACTATGTTAAAATGTAGATCCAGATCTAGATCCAATTAACACATTAGGCCTAGGTTCTAACATATGACAGGTATATTTCCAGGCCTGGAACCACTATTCAAAATTTAAAAAGTTTTCAAGGATTTCCAGGACTGTGGGAATTATGTACTGCTAAACCCTGCAAGTTCAGTGTCATGTGGGTTTCAATGAGCCACCACAAGAACAAGAGTTGTAAAGAAGACAGTAGATCTCTAGCTCCACTTGCACTGATTAGATAGGATTGACTGAATAAGATATTTAAGTATGCATGAAATAAAGGTGACATGTGAAACTAAGTATCAGATACAATATGTCTCAAAGACAGAGAGGAGTAGTTTAAGCCTGTCCTGCATACAAACTGAGAAAGGAGTCCCATCCCCCTAATGAATGATATACAAGGTGGGATTAAGCCTAAATTTGGAGAGATGACTCCCAAAGGAAAAGAGAGATTGCAATGGTGAAAGTCATGCTGGATGGGGTAAATAAAAACCAAACATCCATAGAGTAGTGGATGAGCCGAGATGTGAAGAAAGCATCTATGACTTTGATCAGGGTGATCCACATCCCAGGAGAGTACTGGCTGCAGAGTAGCAGAGTATTTGAACTGAGGAAAGACCAAAGTTGGTTCAAGTGAGACAGATCTATAACAGGATGCTAACTTCCTGTCTTTGTACAAATGACAAAAAGACAGGAGTAAAACCCAACTATGCTTGCTTTTGCTTCTAAGTCTCTTCCTGATGAGGATCAAGTAGTCCCACTTCTGTACTTTATTGCTTGAATTACACGGGTATGTACCTTTTGACAGAAATCATATTTTCTCACTTTGGTTTCTTGCCTTTTTGGACCAGGATGCCACACCAATTTTCTCTTCCTATACAGCATTTTATTCCTAGTCCTCTTGCTACTATCCAACGTCCCTCATCTCTGAGAGATGGCCATCATGATTCTTAGAGGTGCCTCAGCTCTACCCCTTTGTGCACTCCTTTTGCTATGGGCTACTTGGTTACTTGGGTGATTTCTCAGGAGTTTTTTTTTACTGCCTTTCATTATCCATCTCACCTGATTAGAATGCCTTGACCCTACTCACACAACATTGGTTAAAGATGGGGTAGGCTTAACTGAAGTTAAAGAAGCAGGAAGTCTGGAATTCTGTATTCAAGATCAGACTGGAACCAACCACCTGGTGCATAATAGTGGTAACATTACAGGCAGTTAGAGTAGCTCTAGTTACCATTAGAGTATCGGTTGACTCTTTTTGAGGAGCATAAAAAAATGTGTAGACATTAATTCATAACCATGATGTACCACAAATCTGAATTTTCTTAGAAAAACAAATTAGCTTGTTACGTTGATGGTGCATAGACCAAGGTCATTAGCCAAATGACACATTGGTGAGTACTTAATGAAACTAATACATTGTATTAAAACAAAGGGAAATAGTAAGGTCAAAGAAACATTATCACGTACAAGAGGACATGTGTCCCAAAATTACAAATTTGATTGTGAGAACATATCAAATTGAAGATCATTTGAATCAATGTTCAGACTGAAATAATTAAAATTTGGTATATTTATTTCTCATAATCAAGAAAATTAAGGAAAGAAAGACTACACTACAAATATTAATGAAAGATTAAAATAATAAGTACAAAAAATGCTAATTCCTAAGAAAAACATGTCTTAACATAGCAATGCGAAGAAAAAATTTAACCTTTGTTTAAATGCTAGTTCTGAGGATTACTGCACATGGAGGATGAGTAACCCTCGTATTTATGTAGGACTATAGTTTAATGATGATTACATCACAGATGGTAGATATACATGACTGTTTCAATGTAAGTATAGCATGAGTGTTAAATTTAGATATTTTTAGAAGCAATAGTGTATTGCAAGTTTGTTTATATAACTGTTTATGAATCATACATTGTGTAGTTCAGTTGTTGTGATTTGGTGATTGTTATATTATTGCATCATGTTACTAGAGCCTTCTAAGTTTTTCTCATTGTTTTAATTAAGTATTATTGCATCATAATATCTTGTAGTGTGTGGAATGTTCTAGGCCAAAATGTATTTTGAGATAGATAAATCTAGACTGTGTGATTGTGAGTTTAGCCATAAAGAGCATATAGTGGCAATGTTTTAAGTGAAATTATCACAGGATGTATAATAATAGCAGAGTAGAGAAGAAATAATTTGTCTTGTCAGTTGAGTTCTAATGTAATTGAACCACCCTGTGTGGACTTTGACAAAAAAAAAGGAATTATTTAAAGTTCTGGATACAACTGTAATAATCAACAGTGCAATGAACATTTGTATATATGTTTGACTTGTTTTAATATATTATTTTAAAACAAGTGGATTGTATGCTGTTTGTTTATTGTTGAAATTTTTCATCACCAATCATAGACACCTACTGTGAAGAATCTAGCCCACATACATAAAAACCTGAAAAATAGGCTGCCACAACTCAACTCAGCACATGTAGGGTTGGAAGCTTTGTTAAAAGCTTGTGACTTGCTGAAAATGTTTACTGCAGTGGCATGGGGTAATAGCTCTTTGTTGTGTAGACAGGTGGATGAATGTTTCGGATTTAGCATATATTTTAACAGCCTATTTCTAGGATGGCTTTCAATATATATGGTTACAAAAAATTTTGTTACAATATCTATCTTATTTTATCAAGGTATTTGCATAAAAGTGAAGAAATCAGAAGTAATCAAAAACTCAAATCATAAAATTAACTGATAAACGAACAGGAACACAACTTATGAAAATGGGTAATGAAACAATAATCAAGGTAATACTTGTAGTAGTTTTTCAATTAAGTTACCTAACTTCTTTAGACAATGACATAAAAATAGAAACAAAAACTTCTTTTGAATAAGTTATAATTTTACTAGAATAATTAAACTTTGAAAAATGAAACTTAACAGTTTGTTGCTTAAAAAGGTAACAGAATATGTACAGTTAAACTACCTTCAATAAATACTTTACTACCATTAAAGATCCATTTAAACTGAGTTCATACATAAACTATTCTTATGGCTATTAATGAGGATAAGTTATTATATGTATTCTACTGTATATCATTGATTTACAGAAATAAAGAGTAAAGAAATAGCATGATATGTTTTATTTGTTAAGAATCTGAAATATGTGCAAATAGAAAAATATTTCTTAAACAAGCTTCACTTGCATTTCTGTATTAAAAAATACAAATATACAAATATATTCTTTATATACAAAAAATGTATTAATTCAAGTCTTCTGACACTACTTGAATTTTATGGCTTATTTAAGACATGTCAAACCTAAGTTGCTGAAAGGCTGAATAACTATAATTTTTTCTACATTAAAAAAAAAAGTTACAAATACAAACCTGTCTTGTGATAGTGCAAATAAATCATCATTATCAGTCTCTTCTGCAAACAGACTGTTACTAGGAACTGAGTCACTTTGGCTGATAGGTTCAGGTCTTGAAACTTTATCAGTTGATTGGATAACAGTCACCTAAACCCATTAAAAATTTCATACCAATTTACCAGTAATTGCATACATAAAATATTTAAACTCATGTAAGTTACATAAATGAAAAGAACAATATTTGATCAGAAGTCAACAAAAACTAGGTATCTAACTAGTTCCAAACAAACATTTGGAAATATCCACTCAACAAATATCAGCTAAGTAATATCACCAGTGCTATATCAAGATGTTAAAACACATGTTAATATCCTGCATTAAAAATTCTAGCCTAAAGTTCTACCCTGAGAAAAAAACATCCTGGTGAAGGTTATGGAGATTTGAAACAATATTTCAGTTTAATATTTCAAATGCACATTTGAACAATTTTACTTTTTCTTACAACATAATTTCATATAAAGAATAACCAAAAATTAAAAAAATGAGGAATTGAAATAATAATACTTTATAACATATTTTAAAAATTCAAACTAACATGAATTACAAAAAGGATTAAGATATTTATGATGAACAACATGGTTTTGGAATTTTACAGATTCAGTCTTCAGTACCTAAAGCAAAATATACAGAACTTGCATCAAACCTTGGAAAGACTAAAATCAAATGCTGAATTTAAGAATAATTAAACTGAAACAAAAACACATAGAAAGTGAGCAAATGGAGAAAACAGAACAAGAAAAACATACAAAAGTAAGAAGTAGCATCAATAATACTTATCTATATTAAAAAATGTACAATTTCATTGAAGACTGCATGTTATTCACAGTTGGAGAATGATGTTTGAAGTGTTGTCCATATACCTTCTGTAAAAAAAAGCCTAAACTTGGCAGGGCAGGTGTTGAGCGATTTTTGTTTGTGGTAAGAGATGAATGCATTAGATAATGATGGACCCAATGGAGAGTCCATTGCAACACCATCTACTTGTTCACCAAGGATGTTGTTATATATGAAATATGAATTCTTGGTTGTAAGGTTTAATACAGTCTTAATTTGAAATTCAGAAAAGCCATTTAGAGGTATATTAGTAAAGAGGATGATTATATCAAACTAGCCATGAAATGATTTTTGGATGAGGATAGTTGATTAGTTCACATGCAAAGTGAAAAGGATCAGAGATATTACGAGGTGTCCAAAAAGATTGGAACCATAAGCACTTCAATGATTTTTACAGAATGTGTACCACATGTTGTCATTGTACTTCGAAACAAGTTTGGATTAACAGCAATATTAACTCAGCCTTCTCATGCTTTGACAGTGCCATAATCAGTCATGTATCTGAAATTAAGTGGAACCATAAGCACTTCAATGATTTTACAGAATGTGTACCACATGTTGTCATTGTACTTCAAAACAAGTTTGGATTAACAGCAATATTAACTCAGCCTTCTCATGCTTTGACAGTGCCATAATCAGTCATGTATCTGAAATTAAGTAAAGCTGCAAATCATCTATGGTTCCAGACTTTTCAGATACCCTGTATATTCACTGGTGGTGAGTGGCTGTACTATAGGCACAAGGATTTTTAAAAGCTAGTAACTATGCCTACCTTAGGTAGAAAAAATGGATTGGAAGCAAGGTATCAATTTTTTAAATTATCATTAAATGTAGCAAGGTCCAAGGATTGATGTAAATTCTTTATACTTTGCTTTAGATACTTAAGATGAAATATGTGGAATTCCTAAATGTGGTTCATCATACGTGTCATAATTCTTTTTATCATCAAAAAGTGTCTTCCTTCAAACACATCAATTGCTAATGACATAAATTAGCAGTTGATTCCCACTAGGTTCATTCAGTTATGACTTACTGAAAGAAAAAAATATTTTTAACAATCTCATAGTGATGCTACACACACACACATATATTATGATTACTTACTCTAGCAGTAATTTAAGTACAGAATATATATTATCTAACCACAATAAAATAATGAATTTTATTTTCAGTTTGATACTCACCTATAACAGCAAACATTACATTTCTAAATTTAAATTTAACAAAAAATTATGTAATATCCTTCCACTGTGAAAAATCTTCACATAGTTTGTATACTCCCAAAATGTGTCTGGATATGTTTTACAGAATTTACACTCTCATAATAAGTTTCTCAGGATGTTTTACACAATGTAAACTATCTGCAAAAGCCCATCATGTCAGAGAAGAAAAGCAAACAGTAAATTGGATTAAAACTAAAATAATGGGATATGAACCATACATGAGAAGAAACAAAGCCTTCTACATCTACTTAACTGATAGCACATTCAGTCAACCCAGCATGGAAGCTAGTACAACCTAGCTACCCTTCTTTACTATCAAATAATTTAATGAAATTATTATCATCAAGTACGTTTAGTCCAAAGTTTTATATTATCTTAGTTTTATTCATTTATTTCAAAATAAATATTGAAAGCAATAATGAAATCTCGCAGGTTTGTGTGATGTGATGCAGGAGCTATAAACAATCTCAAAATTTGGTGAAGTATAGCTTGAAGCATAAGGGGTAGTCATGTGTATGTAAGTTTAAACGGGAATGTAGCTTACTTGCCCTTTTGACATGCATGTTTCAAAGTACTTTCCCTGAATGCAGATGAAACAAGAAATAAAGTTTGTCAACCTCTGACAGGTGCCATGCCCACCTTTGAAGGTTAATGTTGAGCTATAAAAAGTTACAAATACTTTCAACGTGTAAGTGTCTATAATCATTAGAAAGAGCTCATTTTGCACTATAATGTAACAATGGTCATTTTGAAATTGGCCCCAAGTTGTCGCCTTCAGATAGATGTAACTGCTTGCAGTATTGTTGGCTGCTTTGTTCATTATAGCACTTATGGTTGTTTCTTACCTAAATATGTTATAGTTAGAGAAACATCTAGAGTGTATTTAGGTTTTACTTTTATATTAATTATGGATTATATGTGTTTTAAAATTCATATTTGAAAGGTTTAATAATTTTTATAAAATAACCAGAGTTTCCCCTCGTTCTGAAAGGCTTATATTACCAAGCGTGTATAAAACTATTTTCCTGGAGGCTAAGGTATCTCAGCCGTTCATACTTTTCTATCACCTGTGGATACCCACTGATGTGTGTCAAAAGAACAAGAAAGGAAAATAAAATATTAAAAATACCCCATAAGTGAAAAGGTGAAGACATGAAATTACACATATGACCCAAAGATGATTTTTTAAGATTATTCAACAAAGAGTTAAAAGGTATTTACATATTTCTATTTCTTAATTTTAAGCATTTCATTGCACTGTACATTGATGATAATAGTTAGATTTAGTGATATGGTAGAGAAAATGGAAAATAAAATATAAATGTTTACCTTAAAAAACTTTTGATATTCATATAGGAGGTTCTAGAGATTATGTAAATTAATGTTAATTCTGTAAGAATCAAATCAAAGAATCAAAATAAAAATCATATTGCAAGTGAACTTTTCAGAGTCTGAGTGCAAATAAATATTAGGTTGTCAAGAAATTAATGTCACTTTTTTTTTTAGATGAAAAAACCCGAACAACTCATTCTTATTGATGATGCTTTTCCATCTTACAATCAGGTTGTTAATGCCCTGATTATAAAAATCACTTGGCTTTGAAGCAAAAATTATGTCAATGTCCTCTTTAACACCTTCCACATTTGCATATATTTTCCCATTAAGATAGTGTTGCAGTGAACGAAAAAGATGGTAATCTGATGGTGCCACATCTGGAGAATATGGTGGGTGGGAGAGAACTTCCCAATCCAACTCCATAATCTTGTGTTGCGTCAAACGTACCACATGTGGACCTCCATTGTCGTCGAGAAGAAGAACACCTTTCCAATTGACGAGTGAAGGGCATTTCTGATGAAGAGCTTGATTTAAATGTCCCAGTTGCTGACTATAGATCTCTGCATTGACAGTTCGCTGTGGATTGAGGAGTTCAAAATGAAATACTCCTTTGATGTCACACCAAATGCAAAGCATTAGTTTCTGTGGATGGAAGCCAGGTTTTGGGCTTGGAAGTGATTTTTGTCAAGGACTGAGTCATTGTTTTTGGCATTTAATATTTGCATAGAGAATCTATTTTTCATCACTGGTGACAATTCTGCCCAAAAATGGTCCATGTGCATTATGTACCAGAAGAGACAAAGCAACATTTACACATTAGAAATGGAGAGTTCGTGAGGCACCCAAACACCTTCTTTATGGAGTTTTCCCATATTCCTTAGATGCTTACACATTGTTTCATAAGAGACATGCAATTTCAGGGTCATTTCATGAGTGTGTTGCCTTGGGTTATACTCCACAAGCATCTTCAGAGCATCAATATTAATTCCAACATGTCGGCCCCTGCCATCACAGTTTTTAGGCTAAAGTTACCTGAACGAAATTTGCTGAACCATCGTTGACACTTACGAACATTCAACACATTTCCATAAACTTCTTTGATATTCTTTGTGGCTACAGAGGAATTATTTCCCTTCTTGTATTCAAATGGCATTACATGCCAAATGTGTATCTCATCATGTGCTATCACTATAAGGGGTAAGAGTATACTAAACTTTACACATTATATAGGCTATACTAATGTGACTTTTAGGTGGTTCATTTACATATTATACGTGATGTATGTTTTTTTCAGGGAGGGTAATGAAAGTGTTCCAAAACGTGACATTAATTTCTTGACGAGCTAATAAATTAAATAACAAATGTTTATTAGATATAGTAGAAAAAAACTCAAACTACATACTTTTTTTGGAAGTTTTTGTCAAGTTTTAAATCATTTTATCCACTTGTTTTATTACTGGAATGAAATTTAACAAGATTTACGTAATATGCTTCATTTTGTGGCATGTTGTTGTTATGTGGTTAAAATAACTTAGTAACTAGTTAATAATATTTAGGTTTATGTACAGGCTACTACCCATGACCACAACGATATCTGATCGCCACAGTTTTACCATAAATACTTGAAAATCTGGTACTACCTTAAGAGATAAGAATAGTAATCACAATAACTAAAGAATTGGCAAAAAATATTATGAACAGGTAAATTGAGTTTCCTATTGGTTGAATTGAAGGAAAGGACTAGAGACAAATCCAGAAGTAGAAGAAAAAAAACAACTTAAGTTTATATACACCTGGAAAAAAGTTAAGCACCCCCGTGTTTTTTTCAAGTAATTCAGATTCGACGTTCTTGTGACTGATTAT